TTTTTTTCTAATACATTTTTATCTTAATTTTGATTTTAAATGTCTAGAACTTTGTAAAAATATTTTTAAAATATTCTCTAAAATATGACGGTTTATTCCGTTAAATTTTCGTTAAAATTGAAAATTGTTGAAGAATAAAAAATATTCTATAATCAACTACTAATTTCTCATCATTAATAATAGGATGAAAAATTATTTTTATAAATTAATAAACATATTAAACAATATTATAAAAATTTGTGATAGAATATAATTTAATGAATAAATAATTTATTTCAACACTGTGTCAAAATGTGTTATTAATATTTGTGTACAAAAAAACAATTGGATTATTTTGTTAAATAATTTTTATCATTTGTTCATAATAACGTATTATTAAACAATCACCTTAAAAGCAATATATACAAATATAAAATATACTTCTGAATAAAAGTAAAAGTAAAATTTATAAAACTTATTCGGCTTAAAAATATGTTAAATAATTATATTGAAAAATTATGATATATAATAATAAAAATAAGGACAAATATTAATATAAAGATTAATATTAATTTAAATATTTTTGTTACTTGTTAAGATATAACAGACTTTTTTAATTCACGATGCATTAATAAAATGACCAAAAAATACATTTAAATTAAATTGAAAATATTATTATTCAAAGAAATAGGGATATATTTATATACAGGCAATATTTAACTTAACAAGTGATAACGAAAATAGATTAATTTTGATTAATTTAATTTTTATTTTATTAAGTTTGAATTTCTTGAATTCAATTTCTCATCTGCACATTTAATTTATTATATACATAAATGTAGTTAAAGTACGCATGTATATATATACACATGTATATAATATGTATTTATTATACATGTACATACATACACTAATCCATACACATTCTTATTTATACAATTGTTACTATATAAATTATTTTCCAATTTAAAAAAAAGGAAAACTTAAAGAGCTATTTATCTTTACTCTGAAATAAAAAATTTCAACAATCAAATAAAGTATTTGTATTCAAAAGAATGTACTATAAATTTTAATAAGCAACAATTTTTTTCCTAAATATGTACGGAATAGGAATATACAAAATTATTATCTTTAAATCAATTTTTTTAATGAAATATTGTTAATTTCATTACCACTTGACTATAAACAGGATATCCTTAGTAGTTAAAAGTTCAAAGTAATATTAAAATAATCAAATTAATAAAAAAAATGAGTTAATGAGAAAGTTTAAAAATTCTCAAAAGTTTTAAATTGGTTAAATAAAAAATTAATTTGATTTTTAATTTCGATATAATTAATTTTTAATACATTTTACGCATTCTCAAATAAGTTATTATTATTTTACTGTAAGTCTGTATTTTATCTATAATTATTATAGGAATGATAAAAATTTGTATAGAAGAATTATAACAACAACAGCCATTAGAAATTTGATGGAATTAACGTCTGAAAGTCGGTTCTTTTTTTAATGAAAAATCAAAGACAATCTTATTGGAAGTTTTTATGACCCTGGCACCGATTAAACCTAATAATGTTGTTTTGCCGATATATAGTAGCTAAATTATCAAACTAAATCCAGAAATGAAACATAGGTTATGGATATCTTTGAAAAGTAACAAATAAATCTTTCTTGACAATAATAGACGCGTGTATCTATTCTTTATTCATATCATTCGTTAATTTGATTAAGATTTTATATACGTTTATATAATTAAAAGATTATTACTAGTATTATTTATCGTCTTTTTTTATTAGTAATTAGTAAACTATAGTAAATCAATAATATTTTATATTTATAACAAGTGTAGACAATTTTTGAACTGTCAAAAATTCATAAATAATTGATGAATTATAACTTGAAATATTGATAATTTTGTATCATATATTTTAATAGAAACACTGTTATGAGCTTCAATAAATAATTGAATCTAATGTATACATGTGTGTGACTGCGTGTATGCAGATGTGTGTATTTTTACATATATATAACAATAAATATTATATTATAAAGGACTATTTATTCGAATAAATATCATATAAATAATATAAAATTATACATGTTCATACATGATTAATTTCGATTTCATTAAAGTTGATGTATTCTATTTAAATTTAAGTAAAACTCATTGTATAGTTTTCTTTATTTGCATTATTTTATTTGAAATCAATATAAATGAAAATTTCCTTCAATTTATTGTAAAATTTATACTTGGACGAATTAAACGAAAATGCTGTGTGATATCACTAAATTTCTTGTAATTTATGCTTTTCTTTATATGTAAAAATTGAACAAACTAAGAGATCTTGATAGTAAATTCTATATTTATTTAATTCAGAAATCCTATAATTGCTGCGTAAAATTCACACTTTACTTTATCAATTTGAATTTTTGAAACGTATTAACAAATGATATGTTTAGAAGCTATGTATCATTCACTAATACATTAAATATATTTATCAAAATTGAAATTAAAAAAAATATATCCACCATTATATAACTAAAATATAGAGTGTTTCTTTACCATTTCTCTATTTAACATAATTCTTTTAACTTACTTTATAACAATCATTGTAATTATTAGAATATAACTAACGTATATTCAATAATATTACTCATATTTATCATTAGTATATAATTTATGCTATAAATCATATTTCCATATTAATAATAATCGATTGATCAAATAGTAAATTCAAAAGATTTTAAAGATCTATAATTAAAAAAAGTAATATAGTCTTAATATAGTTTTTTCAGTAATTAAATTTTTAATATACAAGATATAATATATTAATATTACTCCATGTGTAAAAAAAGAATATACATATATAAATTTTTTTTTAAGTAATATAGATATATAGATTTTATTTGTAATCTTAAAGGTTAGGTCTAATTGTTACTGTGATTGAATATTTTTGTTTAGTAATTTTATGCAAAACTGAAGTTATTTATATTTTATCTGTAAAATTATTAATTTAAAACAACGTTGAAAGTTTAATGGTTAGTAAATAGTTACAATGAAAGCGTGAGAAGCAATTTATCATGGTAAGATTCCTCTAATTTCTTTTATTCATTCTTTGCATTTGAGGATGTAATTACTCTTAAGTAAGAATGTAGAGATAAAAGTTTTTCAACTTAATAATAATTTTCTTATTTCTAGCGAAAGCTTTGGGATAGGTAGTTACTGTCACGATCCTAACTTTATGTATTGTGAATACAACGTAATACAAATATGACAATAATATTAAAAAAATACATTTTAAATGTAAATGTAAAATCTCATAATATGTATAGAATAAATGCTTTAAAGATTAATTAAAGATTAATTAATAAATAAAAAAAGTATATATTAAATTTTATAAGACGAAGAAAACTAACTGATATTGTCCATAAAATAATACATGTTTTGTAGTATAAAGTATTTATAATATTGTTTCATAAAAAATTTTTTATTTAATAATAATTATAGTATTATTTATTATACTACTAAATATAAAGAAAATTATTAATATATTTAAAAAATTGGTTATAATATAAATAGGAAATTTACGTTTAAATCGAAATAATAATTATAACAAAAATTAATAAAAATTTAGGATACCTGATAATCAAACCTGAAAGTAAACAATTTTATATTACATAAATTAAAATAAAATGGTTCATTAAATTTTAATTAGTAAAATAAGTTTTGGTCAAATAAATAAACATACCATGAGTTCAATTTATATATGATTAAAATAGTATACTCTAGTAACTATTGATTGAATTCAATGTTGATATTATTTAATAATTAAATAATATAAATCATATTATAACAAATGATTCTTAAAACTGGTATTTAAAATGAATCACCGACATAATATTTTACATGAAAGTTTTCATATATGTTGTAAACAGCTAAACATATATTATACATAAATTTTCATTTACAGCAACTCTCTCTCTCTCTCTCTCTCTCTCTTTCTTAATGGTATATGAATATTTTAAATATTTATGAAATAAGCAATATTAGTCCACCTTAGTTCTTCCTTTCCTGTCTAGCTCTAATATTTATGTGAAATGGTACTTAGAAGTTGCTAGTTTTTTGCTTAGCATTATTGCCAGTTATTCTACTTTATATTTCATGCATAATACAAAATATAATCTTATAACCATTTACCAAGCACTTCACGCATCTCTTTTCTTATTTCATTATCATAAGTGTTTCTTGAAAATTTGTAAAACACCTCAACATGTACAAAAAATGTGAACATTTATCGGAAAAGGAACATTAGTAATAGAACTTAATAATATTAAGCTATTTATATATTTAATAAATCAAATAAAATTATAATATATAAAGTATTCTATAATAAGAAGTTAATTATTATAAAATAAGAACTGCTGTCAATATAAATTTACGAAAATATATTTCAAATCGATTCATCTTAAATATTATATTTTAAAGAAATTAAAAACAATTTAGTTTATAAATTTTTATTTTCAAAAGATCTTATACTTTGTTATGTTTAGAAAGATTTATTTGCTTATAAAAAGTTTGCTAATAATAATTAGTACAATTTATTTATAATATGTCGTTATAAAATATAAATGTTTTTTAATACAAGCTATTGGTAAATAAATTTGATAATATTTGGAGTTAATAACATGTGAAAAATTAATGGTAACTTGTAACTTCATATAATAATAATTATATATCATACTATTTGAAATTATATAATTTAGATAAAATATAATTATATAAAATAGATAATATATAATTGATATAAAATAAATGAGTACAGTAAAAGGAGCTACTAATTTAGCACTTTGCATTTGAACACATCTCATCTGTGGCTGATCAGCACTGATCACTCCGGTGTTAGAAAAAAGTATCACTATGTTTCTCCAAATTCCTACCTTGCGAGTAAATTGGAAATTCTCCATCACTGTGGCTATGCGTTAGC